AAAAAAAAAAAAAAAAAAAAAAGCCCCCAAAACATAAGAAAGTCTATTTTATCCCCCCAAAAAGCTTATACAGAGACATAAAGCTAAAAATAACCAAAGGTACCTCATCCACCCCTAAGGGAAGGAGGAGGACCAGGCACTGCTGGCGAGTCACAGTGGCAATATCTTATGGTAGGCACCAACTGCCAGGCCCTGCCTTGGCACTACAAGGAGCAAGGAGGATGACCAGCAAGATACCTAGTCACAGAACAGGAGCACCAAGCAGATACAGGACAGGCCAAGGATGCAGACCTAACATGGCCCCCCACGGGGCTCTACATAACATCTACAAAGAATTCACTGGGGTTGCCCATGGCCATGTGGAAGCTTTGGCGACTGGCTGTCAGTTCTGGGGGTACAGAGCCCAGGTCTCTCACTGGAGGGGCTCCTGGGGGTTGCACTGCTGGAGGGACAGGAGGTGGGGGTGGGGGCATCATGACCACCATCATGGGGTTATAGGGGAGAGCCATGCCAGGGGGAGGTCCATAGGGATGGATCCCTGGGTGAGCTCGGAGATTAGGGGTACCACCCGTTGAGCCCCTCGATGGGGGAGGGCCCCCATCACCACTTCCACCAGGATCCCCACCCCGCCGGAGGCTGCCTCCCCGGCTGGAGGGCTCAGACTCACTGCCACTGCCAGACTTGGACTCAGGAGCCCGTTCCTCAGGTCTCCCCGTGCGCCCAGCACCCCCATCACTTCTTGTTGACCCACTGCTCCGGCTCCCTGTACGGGTAGATGGAATAGGGCAACGGAGCCTTAGCATGGGATCCTCCAGCTTCCCCAGCCTCTGCTCCAGCCTCTCCTCCCTCTCCTCCCTGGTTTGCCTCCACTATGCCCAAAACCCTGCCTGTACTGGTATCTGGGGGAAACTTACCCTCACTGTGCTGGCTGCTGGCACTGCCTCCACCATAGGTGTACGATGAAAGCTCATGATAGGGTGGGGGCTGGGGGCTGTATGGGTGTGGGGCTGGATACTGGTAGGAGAAGGTGGGCAGCAGGGGCCATGGGGTGGCCCCAGGCAGAGGAGCCAAAGTGTCTTGGTCTGAAGCCCCACTGGAGCCATCATTGTCATTCAGAGATAGGTTGACGAGGTCTAGAACACAAGACAGTAAGTCACTGCTTTTCAGGGACCAACACCCCTAAGATATTGAATGAAAATGAACTAGGAACCATTTCCCCATAACCATCCATAACAGTCAAATGGGGTTACAATGGCTTTTGACAGAAAACTATGCTACTAGGGCAGGAACACAGCCAGGGCCACCATTAACCAACAGGCTTCTGTGGGACTCAGGAAGGGGTGCTCTTTTCCCCACCAGGCTCAGCTCTGCCCCAGAGGCATAGCTTGTTCAGCAAAACTTGGACAGACCTTACTCCACCCTTGGTAAATACAGCACATACACCCTTGTACAGGACAGAGTACTCAACCATCCAGAGTAGCCATGGCTGCAGTTTCTGAGCCATGGACAGGGATGAGGTTGGAGAAGCAGGATAAGGCAGGCTGAGCTGCCTTCCCGGGGATGGGGACTTACAGTTCTCACAGCCGCCACTGAGATCCCCGAAGACATAATAGCACTGCTCAGAGAATGTGATCTTGTTCACAGTGTGTCTGATGAGGCCTGCCTTCAGCAGCCCGCTGGCATACTTTCGGGCCTCCCTTCGCTCAGGAAAGCCCTCCACATGATGGTAAAGCCAGTCGACCACGTCCGAGCCTGAGATTCCCACAGAAGAAGGCCTCAAGTTCTCCTCCCAACTCCCACCTTCACCTTTACATGTGCCATTCATTCCCAGTTTTGGTATCCTCCCTCCCTTTCCATTCCACCTGCCCACAGCCCAGCAGTACCCAGAAAGGCATTTGGAATGGTGATCTTGAGCCACATGCGGTCCCGGACTTCCAGCCCAGACTCTGGAGCTGCCATGGCCTTAGTCACAGATGCCATATCCATATGGATGGAGAGTCCCCGGCCCTCACAGCCTGACAGAGGAAACAATGGAGAATTGTGGGTAGGGCCCACTCCCACTGGATAGGAGGTCAGACCACAACTGGCCAGCCTTTGGGCTAGAGGCTCACCATCAGGCAGAGAGGATCCAGATGTAATGGTGCTCATGGATGAGGAGCCTGGATAAGCTGGGAAGGTGCCAGTCAGTGCAGCAGAGTGTGATACCCAGGCGGCAGGGTCAATTGGCTGGATGGGCTCATCTGGGTTTGAAAAAGCCACCAAAATGATTGGTTCTCTCAGATGAACACTCTTGTTCCACTTTTCCCTTAACCCTCTCCAACCCAATCCATCCCCCACAGCCTGGAGGCCTAGTCCCACCTCCCAGGACCCTTGTTCTCTTGGCTTCAGCCCTTGCCTGAGCAACACTCACTTCGAGGGAGAGTGAAATAGGCCTGGGGAGAGGGATCCCAACACTTGGCTACAGTCAGCACGATGGGACTGTGGGGAAAAGAAGGCGTCAGAGGGAAGGGAAGAGGCCTCAGAAGGGCCAAGACCAAGAGTGGAATAGATTATAGGAAAGAAAGAGAGAGGAACACACATTAACTGGGTCTGAGAAAGTGGGGGTGAAGGGCTCCACAATGTGGATGACTCAACATGGGTAACTTTTAAAAACGTACTGCTGAGTACAACAAGGGAGTATACACTGGACAATTCAATTCACAGGATGCACAAACAGGTAGCAATGAACTATGTTGTTTCAGGGGTCATGCATGGGTAGAAAAAATATCAAATGAAATGAGCGTTTTGTTTTGTTTTGGTTTGAGATACGGTCTTACTCTGTAGTCCATAATGGCCTGGAATTTGCCATCCTTCTCCCCAGCCTCCTCAGTGTTGTGATTACAGTTGTGTGCTACCCCACTCAGGGCAAGGACTTTCTTGACCAAAGAAATCAAGTGGGTGATTACCTCTGGGGGAGGAAGTTAGGAGTGTGAAGGGACATTCAGGGGGCAGGCTGTACAGGCTATGGTTAATTTTCTGTTTCATGATTCAAACTGTGATACCAAAGGTAGCCCCTCTACAATTATTCACTACATTAAGCATTTTTGTTTCATGTACTTTAAGTGTTATGTCCTACCACTTTTTTTTTTTTGATACTGGGGATTGAACTTGAATCCTTGAACTTGCGAGGCAGGTGGTGGAACCACTGAGCTAAGTCCCCAGCTCTCACCACTTTTTAAGATTTCAAAACAAGAGGCCCGTGGACCTGAGAACATCTCAGAGGCTCACCCTGGCTTGTGTACAATATCCCTTAGCACCCGCACAGCATCATCGTTGCTCATATTCTCGAAATTCATGTCATTCACCTGCAGTGTGAGGAAGGGATTCAGAGGCAATGGGAGAGGCAAGGACCCTGTCCAAGAGAACTCTGCAACCCACCCAGGCACACCTGTAAAAGCATGTCCCCTGGTTCAATACGTCCATCCGCTGCAACAGCACCCCCCTTCATAATGGAGCCAATGTAGATGCCTCCGTCACCACGTTCATTGCTTTGGCCCACGATGGAGATGCCCAAAAAGTTGTATTTCTCTGTGGAGGGAGTCAGTGTGAGAAAGAACAGTCCCAGTTACATATCCCCCAGAATTCTGAAGACCAGTTCCTCCCCTTCTGCCTCCAGACCCCTTCATACCCATGTTGAGGGTGACTGTGATGATATTGAGAGACATTGTGGAATCTGTGACACTGCTGAAGGATGATGTCTGTGGTGGGAGAAGGAACAGGAGCTGAACTCACCTTCTGTGTTCCAGGGATAAACCTGGGCCTCTGTGAACTCAGACAACCTAAACCAAGGCCCAGTGGTCCCATGAGAACCCCCTTACCCTCTCCATGCGAGGTGGTCGCTGTTTCCTCCGTCGCCGGTGGCGCTTGAGGAGACGGGAGGCACTGCTCTGTTCTGTGGAGCTGCTGAACCTGATGGGTGTTAGAAGCAAAGCACTTACAGGCTGAAGTGGTCATGGGGCCAAGAGAAACAAGCAAAGAAGAAAAGGAGGGGGGCCCAAAGCCCTGGGAAGAGATACATAGAGCTATACCTGCTCATGGTGTCCTCCTCGTCTGAGTCCCCCAAACTGGTACTCTCCAGCTCACTGGTCATGAGGGTAGAGGAGCTCTCATACCCAGCCAGGTGGCGCTCCAGCCTTGAGGGGCCACTGGGCCTGTGGCCCCCAGCTACATAGAAACAAGAATCTCAGGAACCAGGCCTCCTGCCCTACTGCCCTTCTCCCCCATTGAGGCTGGAGCCTGTACCCCACCCCCTCACCGCCATGCTCACTGCTGTCTCTCCTTCGAGGCCGCTCCTGCCTCAGAGACACAACCGACTCAGTTTCTGTCTCAGGCTCCAGATTTTCATGGCTACTGGACACATTTGGGCTAGATGGGCAGAGATGGTTTCCATCCCACGTCAGAACAGGGCTCCATCCTTGGCCTCTCCTCCCAAAGGGTTTAGATTCCCTCTTACCTCCCTCCCTTGGATTCAATACAGAGGACTCACTGAAAGGATGGAGGCCTTGAGTCGCCAATACCACTGGTCCTCTCTGGTGGTAAAGCGGGTAATGGTGGAGGTGGAGGCACCAATTCTGTCCGAGGCTCATGGGCTAGGGGAACCATCTCAGTTTGGGAATTATCTGATGAAACCAACTAGGAGAGGTACAAAATGAGAAAATGTGGCTCTACTGGGAGATGGGGTGTGAGAGAAGGGACTAAAGGAAAACATCAGGAAGGGAACAGAGTCTCAGAGACCCTGGAGAAAAGCCAAAAAAAAAAAAAAAAAAAAAAAAAAAAAAAAAAAAAAAAAAAAAAAAAAAAAAAAAAAAAAATCAGTAACCACTATGGGAGGCTCTGGAAGGAGAAGGGGCTCCCTATGACTAGCTCTCCAAGTAGGGAGGGAAGCAGAAAGCTAGGGCTGCCAATGACTGGGGAAGGAGAGAACTAGAGAAATAGGCTGGGGCTTAGAACAACTTGATAATGAGTCAAGGGCCCCTTACCCAGGATACCACCCTTCCATTGAAGCAGGGAAGACGGGCATTGTCATCTGAAATTTCTTCCTTCACCACTCTGCAGAGAGATGTAAGAGGTCAAAGAGACTAGACTAGCCAGTCCCATCCACATCCTTGTTCAAAGCTTCTCCCAATTCCCATCCAGCCTGTGGTCATCGAGTCTTTCCTGTCCTGTCCAAGTCCTCTGTTCTTACACTGAAACTACTCATTTTCATAACCAAGAAATTTCTGGACTCAATTCCTCCCTTTCCTTATTTCACCTCCTCTTCCCCACTCATCCTCAGGGACACAATGCTGCTCCAAAAACTTCCTAGACTCTGATTCAAACCTCTGACTCAAATCTCTCAAATTTCAAAGGCTATCCCCTGTGGTTACCCACCTACCTAAAATATCTAACTTAGGAACCTTGCAGGCAACCTCCCCAGGTGTGCTTTACACGCTTGTCCAAAAAAGGCTCAGTCCTCATATAAGTCTTTACTCTTCCACTTCCCTTTAGTTTCCTCTAATTCACATCTAGAGAGCTGTCCAAATGTGTGGTCTAGGGGAAGCTACTATAATCCTGCACTAAGCAATCTGCTCTGCCTACAGATCCCAAAGCCCACCCTTGGGGTCATCTGTCCCATAAATTCCTTGCAGTGGACTGGACTTGCCACTTACCAACTACTATTCCAAATCATTAACACCTATTCTATTGAACACCATGTCCTGAGCCACCCCTGCCATTCAGTAAACATCAATAAACATTTGTTGACAAAATAAATAAATATATGAACCACAATACTCATTTTCAAACACAAGACACATACTCCTCTTTAAATTAGAACTTTCAGGTTTTTGTAATAGAGTCTCATTGTGCAGTTGAAGCTGACCTTGAACTCACTATAGAACCCCGGCTAACCTCAAACTCAAAGCAATCCTCCTGAATCAGCCTCCCAAGTGCTGGGATTACAGGAATACACCAGAATACCCAGCCAAATTAGGACATCTTGTCAGGTTAACTCTTCATCCTAATATGGTCTGGGGGGAGCAGATTTATGACAACTTAATCCATTTGCTATCAATGACAAAACAGCCCAGTCACTACCAATCTGCTCAGCATAATGTGCTATTGTTCCCAACATAACTCAATTTCAGCACAGTTTCGTCAACTCCAGGTAATCCTGCATCAATATAACCTAGTCTATCAACTAGTCAGTCTCAATACTGGCAAAGAAAATTCATACTCACCAAGAATTTACCATATGTCATACACTTGAATTATTTCACACTACGATTATTTTCATTTCACAGAGAAGAAAAACTAAGGAACAAAAGTTCAATAAATTGCTCAAGACTACACTAGTAACAAAGAGAAGAACACTGATTGAAATGCCAAGATAATATTACTCTCCCAACGTTGAACAGTCTTTTTTTTTGGTACCAGGGATCGAACTCAGGACCTTGTGCTTGTGAGGCAGGCAGCGGAACCACTGAGCTAAATTCCTGGCCCATTGAACAGTTTTTTTACTTGGAGTCCAGCTTGTTCATTTCTCCTTATGACATGGTTGTGGGGTTCAAGAATCTACTTCAGGTAAGAAGTCTCTTCCTCATCCAGGTGGGAAACCACTTTAGTCTCCCGACAGAACCACACCTACCCCACCTGCCAACCCAAGTTTTCGAAACCTAGTCCAGCCTACCTTCAAAAACTCTTAGGTTAGTACCCAGAGGACTCAGTCCCAAAGGTTATAAACACAAAGGGGCTTGCTTACTCTACATTATCTACAGTTCCAGTCTAGGCCATAATGTTCCAAATTACCCCGACAGCCCAATCTATTCTAGTATAGCCTACAGTGCTCCTTAAACAGCTGTCTGTACAGATAGAGACTACAGTATCCCAATACAGTTGTCTGTGATAGTAAGCATAGGCGCCAACAGCCTTATTTGCCCCTGTACTGAGTGATCCAATAAAACTATCAGTACCCAAGAGAAACGATGTCCAACCCCAGTAGAGTGCAGAATGGTCCAAGTTTCTACTCACGGGAAGCCCAGAATATCTCAATAGTATAGATTGGAATGTCCCACTACAACCCTGTCCACGCTAGCATAATCCCAGAATATACCAAATTGCTTTGGTACGGTCCAAATTACATTAGGAAATTACAAAATATCCCCAACCTATATGGTTCAGAACTGCTCAGAACATATCAATCTACCTCAGCACAGTACAGACATTCCCAAACCAGCATTCCCCATCTATTCCAGTATAACCTAATATTCTCTAGCCTGATTTAGTATATCGCAGCCTGTCCCCAAGCATTTTATCTTAGGATGCCCCAGCATAAAACAATGTGTTCCACCATGGACCAGAAAAATCCCCGAATACATTTATGCCTTTCAATCCTGCCCAATCCAATCTAGCACAGTCTCCGTCCTTCTCATGGTATAGGCCTCGAGCTCACCCGAAATCCTGATCCATAGACTTGAAAAAGTACTTAGCGCCCGCGGGGCGCTGCAGAACGCTCTTAAAATCGCCGAGGGTGATGCGCTCGGCTGGGACAGGGATCTTCACGAGGTAAGGTGTCTCTTCCTCGTCCAGATGGTAAATCACCTTCGTCTCCCCGACATTACCGCCCCCCGTGCTGCTGCCCGCCATGGTCTCGCCCGCGCGCTCCCGGGCTCTGCCGCCCACCCAACCGAGCTAAGCTTCCCCCACCGCGCCTGCGCAAACCGATGCGCAAGCGCGGACAAGACCGGCCCAGTTTGGGAGATGGGTAGAGGCAATAGGGCGTACGGCACCAGAGGGGTGGCGTGGACCCGCAGGCCTTGGGGCGCAGCCCAACGCCACAGACGACGGTGCCGTTCGCCCCTCGCCACCGCTCTCAAGATGCCCGCCCACCTCTCCCCACACCACATGACTCAGGCCCACCCACCTCACACCGCCCCGTTCGGCCCTTATCACGTGTCTCCAGGTCACGTGACCGCTCCGCTTCTCCCAGCGCTACTGCCATGTGATCACCGCCTTAAACTAGTCCCCCGTTCCCAAATAGCTCCACCCCCAAGGTTCCACCCCCCACCAGAGGTCTTCGGAGCACCCTGGTTTAAAGGAGCCTCGAGGTGTCAGCAAGCAATGGGCTCCCAGTCTCCTGTGTTCCTAAAGTAGTATTGCCAAAGGTAGCTCTGATCAGCTGAAGAGTCCTTGTGCAGGGAGTCTGGGAATTAGAGTACTTGGTGGGGTCCAGTTCTGGACTAGTGGGTAAAGAGGGGCAAAGCTAATTAACTAGTGCCCTAGGGTTGGCTACTCTGAGTGTGCTGGGGTGGGTAAACCCCAGAACCAGGTTATCTGCAGATTGGACCTGGAAAGGTGGTTTTTCGGCCCCAGCACCAGTCATTCTGATAACAGCTTTTCAAAAACCACCCTTCCAAGCAGGAGTTAGTAAGGGCTATAAACACAAAGAGCCCACTCTGCTTTATTTACAACACACAGGCTGTCTGTACAAACAGGTGGCCAGGATTACCAAACAGAAGAGGTGAGTGAAAATCCTCACCTTTCTATCTTCCTCACTTGGCCAGGCTCTGGCCCTCCACTTTTGAGCTGCCATGCTCAAGAGGGGAAGTCCAAAATTAAAAATACAACCGGTATATAAGAAAATAAATGGGGAGCGAAATAGATGAGGGAAAGGAGTGCTATATTTACACTAGTTTTATAGACAACCGTCCTATTCCAATTCAAACCCTGGTCCACAAAGTGAGGGGTGGCAGGTCCAAGGGAGAGAGATTATGTGTCTACTGGACCAGATGGCCTCCCACCCTCAACCACAATAGGTCCAAATTCAAGTCCACCAGGTGAGGAAGTAAAGGCTAGGAGCGAAGACACTCGTTTCCAAACAAGTCTCCCTTGGGAATTCCTGCCTTGAAGTGGGGACAATATCCACACTCCAGGGTATAGACTGAGAACCTTGAAGTTCTGTTCCCGTCATAGTATTTGGGAGTTCCAGCCTACAGAAGATGATGATGTCAGGGCTCTCCCGATTTGGGAAGCCCCCCTAACCGCCGGGACTCCGGCCGCAGTTCCTTGCATTTCTGGCAATAAAAGAAGTCAGGGACATTGGTCTTCTTGATCTTAGCACAGGAGAGGTGGATCCACGTCCCACACAGGCTGCACTCAATCATAGGGCGCCCTGCAAAGGGCTTTCGGCAGTAACATGTGATCAGATCCCATGAGTCATCACCTGGGGAAAAGAAGGTTTGTTTGGTGTTCTGCCTGAACTCTCAGATCTTCAGCATACCACCCAAACCCATGATCCCTGATGCCCCAAACCTCTCACCTGATTCTACCATGATGTCCTCATCCATGACCCGCATCTCGCCTTCACTGGAGCTGGCATCTCCATCTTGGCTTGTTTCAGTGCTACCAACCTCTTTGCCTTCACTGTCTGTGGGAGGGGGTCCTTCAGGGTGTACTGCAGCAGGGGGCCTAGGGGCCTCAGGGGGCGTTGGGAGCACAGGGGCTGGGGCTTCACTCCCAACTACTGCTGCCGTCTCTTCCTCCTCCTCTTCCTCCTCCTCTTCCTCCTCCTCCTCCTCTTCAGAGTCTGTATCACTGGGGGGTGCCCGAGGAGGCCCAGGAGGTGGGAGTCTATCACCCCGCTCTGCCTTTTTCAACTTCCGCTTCTTGCTCTTCTTGATACGAGACCTCTTTTCCCCGTCCCCAGGAGCTGGCCGAGGCCTTCGGAGCACCCCAAAGCCAGCCCCACCTCCTGGTCCCAACTTTCGGTTCTTTCGGTCCTTCTTTCGAGGAGGCTGGGAGAGGTCCCCTTGAGAAAGGGGCACTGGGGTAAGAGCAGCAGGGGGCCGAGAGGTATGTGTTAGGGATGTGGGGGATAGTGGAGATGCCACTTTGGGCCCATCCAGATCAAAAAGAGAGTCCTTGAGCTTCATCTTCTCAAGCAGGGTGGCACTGTCAGGGGCCTGCAGACGAGAGAAAGTGGACCTTGGGGGTCCTGGATGGGTGGGACCTACTTGAGCTGCCCTTCTTTTGGATGACTTTGCTTTCTTAACAAAGGTCTGGATGGTACGAAGATCTGAAGGGGCCGAGTCCCAGCCATCACTGTCTGCTGCACTCTCACCTCGCAATGGTGAGCTAGAGCCAGAGGCTGGCCAGTCACTTTCCTTAAAAAGAGAAAAAACCCACAGTGAACAGGAACCTAGTGTCACCGTAGCCCTCCACAAACCCCACCTGAACAACAGAGATTAGAACAAGCTCAAATATCCCACCCTAACAACAAAATATCATTGTACTTAAGATTTTTCATTCCAATTGCCACCAGCTCCCCTCCTGGCTACCTCTGTGTTATTACTGCAGTAAAGTTCTAGGCATCCCTGCAATGCTCCTCGCCCTGGCTTTAGAACACTGAACCCCTTCCACAGTCCAAAGCTACATTTCTTTTTCTTTTTCTTTTTTTTCCCCCCGGAACCAGGGATGAAACTCAGGACCTTATGCTTGCCAAGCAGGTGCGACTCCACTGAGCTACATCCCTGGCCCCAAAGTTGTTATTTCTTTAGCCCTGTTCCTTTACAGCCTCACTTGTTACCATTTTCAGTTCCCAAAAATACACCTAGAAACACTTATTAAAGCAACCAAAACCATTCCAAAATCTTAACCAATGCTTCTAAATCTCCTCTATCACCGCTACTCAAGTGAGCACCTACTGTACATTATTCTCTCACCCTACTCCAGCTTTCCCATCACAACTCTTAAGAGCTTCCATTTGCCCTAATATATATCATTTTAGATACTACTCCTCAAAAATAATACAATGCTGCCTCAAATTAGTTGTTCTTTTGTTCCTACCTCTTTGCTAGGGGGGATGTAACCAGCATAAGCCAAGACAAAACTGCAGAATTTGTTGAAATCTTCAATTGTTCTCCGCCGTTTCTCTGGTGGCTGAAAAGGAAAGCATGGATCACTCTGAAGCCAGACACAAATTTAAGAGAAACATCTAAGAAGGAGGACAGCACTGTCAGGTAGTGCTACTATCCTACTCAGGTAAAGGACATCTTACCTGAGTCTCTGGCTTAAGAGTCGGAGGTGGATCTGTGGAAGCAATAAAAGCTTAGTCAAAGGAGTAGGAAACAAGGTGTGTAAAACCCTACACCTCAGAACCGCGGAGGTCCCAGATGAACCCCTTCCCTCCCAAGTCTTTGCCTGGCCGGCAGGCCCCCAGCTAGCCTGGACCCGCCCCTGCT